GTTGGCACATTTGGGTTGGGAGTATATTTCTATTAGATTAATTCAGGCAAAAAATATAAAGAGACAGTAAATAACAATATTGTTTGTCTTCGGCACCTATAACAGAATAAACAAATGAATGGATCAAAATCATTTTATTTTTCAAAACAACAATGTTGTATGAAGCAATCTATCAATGACCTTTTGAGTTATTTCATTTGTCTGCTCTCTGTGTTCTTGGAATAGAAATCAGCTGCTTAACTGACAAAAACCAAATAAGGAAATACTCAGAATTTATATATGGTCCACTTTGTTATGTTTCAATTATATTGCACTATTATTTGTTGTAGTTGAAAGCTATTACAAATGTATACTTTGTATATTAAAATATTTTATCATATTTTAGATGTTGAACCTATGATTTTTTTTTTTGATTAAGCAAAAATTTATTTTATGCAAATGGTGTATATTCCATGTGTAAACTGAGGGTCTCTCTTTTTAAAGTTAGTATTAGGAGGAAAGTCTGCCTTAGAAGTTTACAAATAATAAACAAGTAAATTCATCGAGAGTGTTTTTATTTAAAAAGAGGTAATTTGTGTTCATTGTAAAATAGATTAGAAAACACAGATGAGCAATAAAGACAACAAAAATCATTCTTATCTCACCACCCAGCATTAATCATTTGTGTAAACAATCACAGTTTGGTGGGTGTAAGTTGGGTCTTCTTTTATTTTGACAAGCTATATGGATATAATTTTTTTAAATGTGCTCATACAGCTTCAGAACCTGCTTTCCAATTCAACATCTTATAAAAAGTTTTCTATGTTATTAACTATTATTCTATACCATGTTTCATTGTGTGGTTAAACTATAATTGAATTAAACAATTTTTTTCCTAACATTTTTACCATTATAAACAATAATGTGGTGAACACATCTTTGTAGGTAAACCCTGGGGCATAATCCAAAATTACACAAAATTATAAATTCCTATATATATGGGCAAATAATTTTGACAGAGGAGCCCAAAACATACAATGGAGAAAGGAAATCCTCTTCAATGAATGGTGCTGGGAAAATTGGAAAGCCAAATGCAGAAGAATGAACCTAGACTGCTGTCTGTCATCATACACCAAAACTAACTCAAAATGGATCAAAGACCTGAATATAAGACCTGAAACAATAAATTGCATAGAAGAAAACATAGATAGTAAAGTCATGGATCTTGGATTTAGAGAACGTTTCATGAATTTGGTCTCAAATGCAAGGAAAGTAAAAGCAAAAATAAATGAATGGGACTATATCAAACTAAAAAGCTTCTGCACAGCAAAAGAAACCATCAATAAGACAGAAGCAACCATCCAAATGGGAGGTTATATTTGCAAACAGTGCTTCTGATAAGGGCTTAATAGCAAAATATACAATGAGCCCAAAAAACTCAACAATAAAAAATAGAAATAATCCAATTAAAAAATAGGCAGAGGATCTGAACAGACACTTCTGCTAAGAATAGTCAACAGTCATATGAAAAGATGCTTAACCTCACTAAATATTAGGGAAATACAAATCAAAACCACAATGAGATAGCACTTCACTCTTGTTAGAATGGCTATCATCAAGAGGACAAGTGATAACAAGTGTTGGAGAGGTTGTAGGGGAAAAGGAACACTCATACACTGCTGGTGGGAATATAAATTTGGTACAGCCACTATAGAAAACAGTATGGAGGTTCTTCAAAAATTAAGAATTACCATATGACCACGCAATCCCTTTTTTGGGTATTTACCCAAAAAACTTGAAAATATTTATCTGCAAAGATATGTGCACCCCAATGTTCATAGCAGAATTATTCATGGTGGCCAAGACATGGAAGCAACCAAGTGTCCTTGAAAAGATGATTGGATAAAGAAGATGTGATACATATATACAGTGGAATATTATTCAGCCATAAGAAAAGATAAAATAGTGCCATTTGCGACAACACGGATGGATCTTGAGATTATCATGCTAAGCAAAGTAAGACAGAAAAGGTTGAGAACCATATGATTTCACTATATGTGGAATATAAAACCGAAAGCAACAAACATGACAAACAAACAGACTCATGGACATGGAAAGCAGATTATTCACGGTGGTTACCATGAATAGCGGATTAGTGGTTATCAGAAAGAAGCAGGGGTGGAGGAAGTACACTGGGGTAAAAAGGGTCATGTACATGGCGATGAAAGAAAATTTAACTTTGGATGATGAACAGACAATGCAATATTCATATAGTGTATTATTGATTTGTACACTTGAAATTTATATGATTTTATTAACCAATGTCACCTCAATAATTTTAATTTTAAAAAAAGGCACACAAAATTATAAAGCTTTTGGTGTGGATTGTCAAATTGTCCTTGCAGAATGATTGTGCTCATTAAGACAAACTCTGGTATGATATGATAGTATCTATTTGACCGAGTCTCCTGCATTTTAAATGAGATCACAGGTAGGAAGTACCTACATACACTACCTGCATTTGGTTCCTTTTCTACTCCATTTTCATTGAGAAAGAATTCCACTTCTACACATAAAAACAAGAGGAACATAGAGTTTGGGAGACATTTAATGCATCTGAGGCAGTGAGGTTCTTAAATAAGTGGGTTTCCTTATTGTTTTCACTGACAATGGTCTATTCTATTCCCACGTCTTTCAAGAAAAGAGATTAAACATCTTCAGTTATTTTGGACTGCAAAATTTTCTTTATCTTTTAAACCCAATCCCATTAGGTTAAAGAAAAAGACAATATTTACTTAGGGTTCTTTGTTGCCTGTTTATTAACAACAATGATTCTCATTTTCCTAAGTGAAAATAAATTTTCTAAATATTTTGGATCATCATCTCTCGATTCCGTACAAATGCTGCAGAAATACAAAGTGGTAACATCAAAATCTATCAGGATTTTCAATGCCATCCCCTAAGAAATCTAACCTTCCAATCACTTCTAGAATCTAGAAAAGTTTTTAAAAGAAATAAGTTATTTTTAGCTCAAATCATCCTGAGTAGCAAAAGAACATTGACCAGGAATGGCAGAATGATCATGGCAAGGATTTTTAAAAGGAAAGCTTGCAAACTAAGGGCAGTGGAAGATCAAAGAATGTCTGTTTAAAATTCCTTCCACCTTAAAATCCTTTCAAACTGAAACAGCCAGCTGTCACAGAGAGCATATTGGATTCCCAGGGTGTCCTGGGGAAGAATAAAACCTTAAAATGAATGCTGTCGCTGAAAACTGATAAAGAATTAATGTTGCTAGCTTTGAATTGCAGAAAATCAATATGACATAAAAAAACAAATGTTACACAACTACTGATGAAAAAAAAGTGAGAGCTCTCACAGCATGCAGTAGCAAAGAAATGGTATGATCAGCCACACCTTTGTTCTCTGATAGCTATGGATGCCTTTTCACTGCCTTAGACATTCTTCTAGTAAGATCAGAGTTTTCTGTTATGCCATGTCACACACACATAAAGCCAAAAGTTGACCTTTAAATGCAGCTTCTCCTTTATTTACTCTGAAAGTTTGACATTTCTGGTGCTTAAGAATTTAAAAAAATTTCTTAGAAATTTTAAATTTCTTAGAATTTAAAAAAATTTCTTAGAATACACAGGTGAATGCTAATTTCCTTTACCTGTTTCCAAGGGCTCAGTTTCTTTTAAATTGGTACTTTTGCTTATGCATTTATTAATCATACAACCGGAAGCCCCGAGCTTCCTTCTAACAAGCATATTGTAAAGAAACCGTCTCCCCCAGACCTACCATTCATTTCTTTGTGTCACCGCTGTTTTTTGTCTGTTGCTACCCACTTTCACTCTCAAGACCCATGAATTCCAAGAATATTTTAAAATCTTAAGACAATGGTAAAGCTTCCTTTAATAATAATAATATAAAAATAATGTACTTATTCATTTTCTATAGCTGTCAAAATCTTGGATTTCTAGATGTATTTTTAACGTGGCTTTAACATTAGAAATATCTATTGTTGAAAGTTAAAAGATTTACACTATTATTTAAATTCAGCTCTTAACATTAATATCGTTTCCTTGTTCCTATTATCCTCTTTCATAACCTCCTTTGAAAAGCAGTAAAGATGAACTGGTGTTTTAAAAAACCTTAAAATTCTCAGAAACGCCTTATCTTTTTATTAGAGAATCTATCACTAGTAATTTCATCCTGTACTGGCTTTTCATTTCATCCAAATTATTTACGTTTAATTCAATTAAGTTTATGATCTTCTCCAAATTAAGACAAGCATACATAGTACTTAATATTTTTCCATAAAACCTCCCTCCCTGCTTTTTAAAGCATTAACCAGGATTGTCATTTTACGGAGCTGATGCATACAAAGCTATTTTCCTGGCTAGTATTAGATGCTTGAACAGTTAGTTCCCAAACATTTCAGCACATCGAGGTTACATATGTGATTCTTTTAAGTGGCTTATAATGTTTCTATAACCTGATAAAATGCTATTAATCCTTTGTAACCACTTTTTAAAAAGTACTTTGTGTGCTGAAAACAAGTTCAAAAATTCAAAGCAATTTTATGTGAGGTAATATTATCCTGACATCAACATAAGTTCATTCTTTCAATAAAAGTGTTGGTGAATCCTGTGAGGGAAATAAAACATATCATTGTTTGTGCTTTGTAAGTCCAAAAGTAAAAAAAAACTCACACATTGCTTATGTTTTTGTGATTTGCATGATCTGGTACAGTGACAGTTATGCATTATCTTCTCAGATGTTCGATAGTATATAGGAGAAAGTTGGAATGACCTCGGGATGATCTCTCAAGTCCAGCTGCTTAAATCTAAATTCTATTTAATAACAGTTTGTGAAATCAGCACATCTCCTCAGAACTCTCCTGTGGGTTGCAAGTGATCAAACAGACAAAACCATAATGACAGGACCGTTAAATAGGTTTAACAGAAAGAGAATGCTAAAGACAGTCATTCACTGTAAAACTGCATACCGGGAAGGCCATATCTTTTATTAAAATCATCACAAATACAAAAGCATCACTGAAATATACATATGTACTGTATACTTATATTCTCAAATTCCTGGAAAATTACTTCAAATTTATTGGTTTTCCATTTCATCACATGGCATATCCCTAAAACAACATTAAATAGAACAAAAATACCCATGCAATTTTTTGAATGAACAGCATTCTCTGCCTTTTTCATCTGTGCATTTTCATTCAGACATTTGCCTGTCAAGGATTTGCTAATAAATGTTCCCTAATTTTGGCTTCCTGGCCATGGGAGTGACATGTTCCGTGTCATGTAAAATTTGGTAGCTTGTAATGTCTGTTCAAATTTCAAGTGTATCTTGCCTTTTCAGTTGCAAGAGCCAGCCTTCGGATGTTGGATATGCAACCAGCTGCAGCTTCCTGGAGATCCTGATCAGGGGACCCAACCATATCCAGTAGAAGCTGTCACACATAAATGAAGAGGAGAAGAAGGGGAATGAGGATAAAATAGTTAATCTAAAGATGTAAAGTTAAGCTTGGAAAATAATTTTAAATATTAAATATTTTTCAAAGTCACCAAAAAATAAGTACAAGAAATTTCATTTGGGAAAATACAAATATAAATTGCGTTTAATCAGATGTAGGAATTTCCCATGAAATTCTTACCTTCCTTTGGTCATCTAATTGTTGTGGATTCTGCTTTCAAATTTCTCTTGCATTCTCTGTGGCTTTTGCACCTCCCAGGACAAGCCGACAGCATGCCATGGACTACCTGACTACGAGTGCAAGCTCTCAGATTGACTCTCTCTACATTCCAATCCACCTGATCATGTCACAACCTAATTGCATCAGTCCCTTAACAGAGACTGTTATTGACTCCAAACACTAACTAACTAGAGCCCAGTCTATTAACCCGTTCTTAAAGGATTTTCGTGCTCTGACTCAGCTTACCTTTGAGCCATTCGTCTGTCTTCAAGGTCACACTTCTCCACTTCTTTTGCCTTGATTGACGCCATCCCTCTACCTGGAGTGCCCTTCCATCCCCTTCTCTAACTTTCTAAATTTTAACCATCTTTCACGTCCCAGCTAACTTTTCCACAAAGCCCTTACTGACTTCCATCAAACAGAATGTCATTTCTCCATCAGAACTCACAGCATTTTATTCAAATGTTTGTTGCTACACTTAAAAATCTTCCTTTTTCACAGACATTTGATTAATGTATTCTTTAGATTGTAAATTCTGAAACTTATAGTACCATATAGGGCCTAATACATAGTAGATGCCCAGTAAATTTTAAAGAAATGAATTAGAGCTTTTAAAATCTATCAATTATGAATCTAATCAGTAGTTTCGATATTTAAAAGTTTAATTTGAATTGTATACTATCTATACAGCAGCATTCGAGTACAAATGTGGATAATGTCAGAAAATGAGGATGACTTAATAAGCAAAGAAATACTAAAATACTACGGAAATTCTGTGAAACAGCTTAAATATGGCAGGATTAGGAGTACAGCTTTTATTCTTCAGGTAATAAAGAGAAGTTACTTAAGCACTTTAATCAGGATAGTGACAAGGTCATTTGTATTTTAGAAAGATAACTTTTATGGCAACTTATAGAATATGAATGGTAGGGAGAAGAGACAGAAGGGTTCTGCAATACTTCAGGCGAGGGGTGATAAGGATTGAATAAAGCAGAAACTAGGAAAGGCGTGGAAGGAATGAATTCAAGGAATATTTAGGGTCTAAACTATTCAACTAATAGCTGGAGGACAGTTGTTTATCCAAACAGAAGACAATGAAAATGGTAATCTCCTGTTATACATAAACATCGATTCCAGGTGGATCAATGATTTAGAGAAAAAAAAAAAAGGCACGTGTAAAACATTTAGATGGGGTGAAGGGTTAAAGAAGTACAAATTAGTAGTTGATAGATGGTCATGGGAATGGGGAGCACGGCATAGGGAATGCAGTCAGCATTAATACATTGGCTAGGAGGAAAACCAGAGGAGAGAAGGAGCAATTAGGGGGATCGTTTTATAAACTACATAAATGTCTAACCAATGTACTGTGTACTTGAAACCAATTAAAATAAATAAATAAATTTATATAAAAAACATTTAGAAGGTTGGATATGAGAAAATCTCGATCAAATTGGGGTATGGAAAGAAGTCTGGCCTCGGTTCCCTGACCTCATCATCAATGGTCTTCAGCACACTTTGGCCCCCACTTCCAGGGGCACACCCTGCTCCTTATTTTTCCTCACTCTCAATAGTCCGACCTCCAAATACTTGGACCACAATTTCTTCTCCCATGGAACTTATTGATTCTCATCATGACCTCTAGTCCATTGGCCTATATACTTTTTCTTCAACCATCTCTTGCCTTCACTTTCTCTACAACCAGTTAAGATTCCACCCACAGTATATCTTTTCAATCATTCTTTACCAGTTTCTTAAACCTCCTGTGACATGTATCCAGGAAAACCATAACCAACTCTGTCTTTCCCTTGCAGTCACCAATAATTGAGCGCTGCTGGAGGCAATATGTATACAACAAGGCAAATGAATCCACACTATAAATCTAACCTCAACTGAATCTCATCACTACCCAAACATGACTCTCTCTAATTAGTTCACTTCCTCACTCTTTTCAATGCTATCTCAAATCTTCTTTATTCTTCTCCAATCTCAAACTCTTTCTTACATCCCCCAGTCTCAGCAGATAACCTTCATAAACCTGATAGAAGCCATTAGACAGGAACAATTCTAACCCGATCTGCAAACCTACCTGCATCTGCGCACACCTTTTTCTCCTTCCATCCAGTTACAATGATGTCTCTCTTCTATCCAAGGCCCACGGCTCCACTGGTATTCTCCACCCAGTCTCCTTCTCATGAGGACATTTTACCACCATATACTCCTTCTCTTCTTACTTTATCTTTAACCTCTCCCTTCTGCTGATTTCTTCTCATCATCATTTAAAAGCATGTCTCCATGTCTTAAAAAAAACAACACCTCCTCCCCGCAAAACCCCACCACTTTGACACATTTTCTTCCCTTCATTGTCAAATTTCTTTAAAGAGTTATCTGGATTCACTGTTTCCAGTCTTAAATTCCATTCGCTCCAGGTTGGCTTCCTTCTGTCCTTGTCCCCTCTCTTGCCCCCCGATAATCAATCATTCATACTACATCCATAGCAATTTCCTAAATTGCAAAGTTCATCAACTAGGGGCAAAATTCTAGAGAAACAAAAGAGAATGAGATAATTAGTTTTCTGAGATTCAAGAGAAATAAATGTTCTCTTCTGAGTAAGGGAAACAAGGCCATTTGGTGGAGCGCATGCCTTGTGAGTTTTGCATTGTTAATGTAATTGAACAAGGAGGCCATTAGATGAAATGCCTTGTTAGGCTATATAAGCAAACCAAAATCTCAACTACAGTCAATACATGTGAATCTGAGGAAATGAAATGTAAGGACAACCACTCACCAACAGCCAACTAGGTTTTCCTAAATAGAGCAGCTATTTAAGCTACAGCCAATCAAATAATTTCCACATTGTGTCTCCGGGTTTTCTCTATAAAAACATTCCCTCCCATTGGTGGAGAATTTTAAAGACGTTTAACAGTGCATGATTTTGCTCTCTATTTTCAAGAGAGAGTGTAACTAGGATTAAAATTACTTTTAATTGTTACTTGGGTGCCAGGCTTTTGTGTCTCTGCATTTCATGACTGAACCATGATGTAGCTTGGCTTCATATAAGTTATGCATTTGAATCACATAAATTCAGTGCCCAGTACAAAGTAAGTGCTCCATAAATGGTGTTCATTTTCATGGTTTATTTTGCCAGTTCTGAACGCTGGTTCTGGCATTTATTGCCTGGAGCCCAGCCCCAGTTAGTTTGGGAGGAATGAGGAGTAGGAATTTTGGTTCTGAGGTCAGTCTAGCCTCTGTTATTGCTCTCTCCAGATCCCACCTCATCTCTGGTTGACCTCTGTGGGTACCAATGACCCAGGCTTCACTTGGCATCAGCTGTTGCCACTGCCACCTCGTGCAGCTGCCTTGAGAAGCAGCCCTTGGTCTGAGGCTTGCCCCAACTGAACCTGCATTTTGCTCATACTGCCCCAGACCTGGTGGTCGTTTTGTGTTCCCCTCTGGTTTTCCAAGAGTGAGTTTCATTTACTCCCAAATCCTCGATGCCAGTTACATAATTCCATGTTACATAAACCAATGAACTGTGAGTGTGAAATGTACTAGTCATAGCGTTTGGCATGCTGTTGGCATCTCAGTGTTTCACAGACAGCCTGTGGCATGTTGGCTATTCCAGGAGTCAGCTAGATAAATGTTGCCAAAGGGAGCATCTACTGTGCATTCACATGCTTGATATTAGAATACAATGATGAAGCAATGCAGGACCCTTTTGATGACTCTCCTCTGTAAATGACTTTTTCTGTTACCTGACTAACTTCTAGTCCTGAATGCATTAAGAGGACTACTACTCTTCGGGAAATCAGTTTTGCCTAAGTTTCTTGCATTAACCACGAGGCTTCATTCCATATCCCAAAAGGTGGTCGAAGAATGTTTATAGACTACAAACTTGACCAGTAGAGCCCAGCAGTCCAGTATTTTAAAGCCCTGATGTATAGGCAAGGGGGAATTTTAAAAAAATAGATAAAAAGAGAAGAGTAGGGTACAGAATGTACATGTGGTGAGCAGTGAGAGTTGCTTCCTTAAATGTACCTCGAGTGACTCATTGGCATCAGGCCCACAGGTTACATAATGTTTGCACAACGTGAAATGATTTTATTAGCTACCAAGCTTACTATATGCCAGGCACTATGATTTATTCTTTACTGGTTAATTTATCCTGCTCTGCCCATTTTCCCTAGCCAGGAATATTTTCAATCAAGGGTATAGAATTTTTTGTGTGCCCAGGGTATGAATGGCTTGATATTTGAGAAGCACTTCTGGGATCCTCTTTGGTGATGCTGCTGTTTGAATGTATGGTTTTTCCTGAATTTTATTTTGTTGTCAATGAATGTTACTCATTGCTTTGTTACATACCCACAGGCTAGGTAGCTAATGCTTGCTTTTCAAATTCAGTAAGGATGTGCTACTTTCCCAAACTACCATCTGAATAACATGTACTATGTAATATGCAACTTGGTTTAGAATTAGGCTAAGGAATATATGCTTTTGTTCTCCTTAAGAGCTTCACAAGCAAACTAGAGCTCTCAGAAGAATGCTTTAAAACAAATATAAACATCCACATAACAGAAACTTAGTACAGAATTCTGCATTTGATGGGCAGCTAACAGAAAGTAAAGAGCAGCACATGTTTTCAAATCACTAACACACGGGGCAAGATGAAGGTGGTTTGTAATACTTTGCAATAATTACTTAAGAGGAGTACTTTTTTTAGGAAAGTGAGATGCAAATTGGGTACAAGTGATTACAGAATC